CCTTTTTCTTTTCTTGTTCCCTAATTTGTTAAAGCCTCAGAGCTAATGACCAGCCCATTGCATTTATAGTAGGGATTGGAGAACCTGTCGCCCTGCCGCTCTCCTATCAGCCCTAACCAGCAGGGACAATGGTCAGAGTACAATCACATCTGGAGAGCGACAGGTTTCCCCATCCCTGGGTAGTGGGAATCTGCTTTCTCCAGTGGTTTCTTAAAGTGTTAAATGTGGATGAGTGATCCACTAAGCTGTCCTCACTGGGGATGTCATAGTCCATAATTTGTGCCTAGTTGATTGGCAGTTTATTAAGCTAACGTGGTTGGCTATCTTGAGCCATATGTTGGATTTTTTGAGCCAATTGATGGCATCTCCCTCCCATTGAGCACAAGCTATAGGAGTTTGAAACTGCAGTTAACTTTCATCCTCCTCTTTCCCCTACCTTCATCTATACAGTGGGTTCAGGACAAGAAAGCAATACATTTCACAGATAAAAATAGGGCCACTGTGTGCAAGTATAATCCCTGTCCTCATACCAGATAAGGATCACTTGGGGGCACAGATGTAGACAATGGGTATCGGTTATGGCATTAAAAAACCCAACTTTTATCTGCAGAAGAAAACAACAGGTCACACTAAGACTTCCTCTGCTCTGGTACCCCCATTGATCCACCTAGCTCAGTATTGTCTACACTTACTGATGGTTCTCCAGAGTTTCATACAGAGACCTCTCCCAGCCTACTCTGGAGATGCAAGGGATTGAAGCAGGATCTTCTGCATGCAAAGTGGCTGCTCTACCACTGAGCTATGGCACTTCCCAGGATGCAGAGAAGACAGGGCTGGCTGAAAAAGATGAATGCTGCCTGTCTCTATCTTCTTCCTCAAGATGAGCTGGACTACTACTGCTGGAGAGTAATTGAAGAAAAAAATTAGGGTGGTCTCCTGAGGAATAAGGAAGGTTGGTGATTCGAATCCCTGCGACGGGGTGAGCTCTCGTTGCTCGGTCCCTGCTCCTGCCAACCTAGCAGTTCAAAAGCACAAAGTGCAAGTAGATAAATAGGTACCGCTCCGGCGGGAAGGTAAACGGCGTTTCCGTGCGCTGCTCTGGTTCGCCAAAAGTGGCTTAGTCATGCTGGCCACATGACCTGGAAGCTGTACGCCGGCTCCCTCGGCCAATAAAGCAAGATGAGCACCGCAACCCCAGAGTCGGCCATGACTGGACCTAATGGTCAGGGGTCCCTTTACCTTTTTAGACAGACTTTGATGGAAATGCTTATGGTGGCAGTATTCCTATGAGTGTATTTGGGTTTATGCTGGAATTGGAATGGAACTCAGAGCTTTACAGCAAAATCATTTAAAAAAACAGCTAACCATGACATGAGTATAGATATCTGCTAGAGAAGAAGGGCATTGTGCTGAAAGCACCACAGAAAAGGATTCATTTTTATCTTCTTCCATTCCATCTCCTCAACTGGCAGTGGCCAAATTACTGGAAGACATGAAATTCATTGGTAATACGGGTCACGATGTTCACCATCACGCATACGCTTGTGTAGAAGCTGTTCAGCCGTGCTTTCTTTTGTATGCACTGTGTACTGTCACATTACAAGACAGCTGGGTTCTTCATCAGTGACTTTCTGTGTTCTTTGCATTGTCACCTGCCATACTGTTTGAACCATTAAGTAAATGTCTTCCAAAAAGGCTCATGCCCTGGGGATCTATGAAAGAGCAGCCTGAGTCATAAAAAATGCCAGTTTTGCTTTTTCATAATAGATGTACCTGGCATAAAGGCATATTTAGATCTACCAGCTACACATAATTTCCTTATCGGAGCACGACACACTTGTTTGGTTTATCCCAGAGCAAGACAAGAGCACAAAAGGGGACTTTGGGGAAAATCCTTCTGAATGCCCCCTCCCCCATTTTAACTGCTGCGTTGTTGTGTTGTTGCTTAAATATATTACCTTCTTTTCTCTTCCCTCATGTTGCCTTCACATTCAACTATGTGCCTCTGAGTTTACAGGAACAGTACAGTGGTACCTCGGGTTACATACGCTTCAGGTTACAGACTCCGCTAACCCAGAAATATTACCTCAGGTTAAGAACTTTGCTTCAGGATGAGAACAGAAATCGTGCTCTGGAAGTGCGGCAGCAGCAGGAGGCTCCATTAGCTAAAGTGGTGATTCAGGTTAAGAACAGTTTCAGGTTAAGAACGGACCTCTGGAACGAATTAAGTAATTAATCTGAGGTACCACTGTAGTTTGAAGTAGGGTTGTGCAGCAGACTTGGCCAAGGGCCACATCAAATTGTCTGGATATAGGGATGGAGTGGGGAATATGGGTGTCACTCAGATTGTGAGGGTTGCTATGGGTTGGGTAGAGCAGTGTTTCCCAACCTTGGGCCTCCAGCTGTTTTTGAACTACAATTCCCATCATCCCTGACCACTGGTCTTGCTAGCTAGGGATGATGGGAGTTGTAGTCCAAAAACAGCTGGAGGCCCAAGGTTGGGAAACACTGGGGTAGAGCATTAAGCTGAGGTTGGGAGGGGAAAGAACAAAAGGCCAAGGAACCCAGTTGATTGTTGGCCATGAACACTGTGCTGAGACGGATATCTTTCATGGCCAAGCTATCTTCCAAGCTGCGACCCAGCAATAGTTTTGAAAAGTCCAACATTGCTGGTGCAGAGCATCCAAACTATTGTACCCTCCAATACTCCAATGACAACAATGGGAACACACTTCTAGCATCCAACCAAGGGCCACTGACATGATTCTCTACTGCATCATTACATGTTGCAGAAGCCTTATTCTGTCTGTTGCCTGACATCTTATTGTATCCTTCTATTGCCCTCTACACTATTTTTAAAGCCAAAGGGATGTGTGTGTTCTTTAGACTAAAGAAAACACAATTGCTCTACAGTAAAAACAGTTCAAAATATACCTCATCAGCAGTGGTATGTAAAATGGCAGGCTATGTACTGCCTTTCAGTGTTGATGCATCTACCATTTGTAGAAATGTGCTCTGGTTACTAGATACACCCCTTCGCACACTCACATAGCCAATGTGTGATTTAAATGCCAGAGACTGGAGTCCTGCTTAACCATGAAGAGTATGGAGTAAATTATACTCAAGAGGAGACCTACTGATATTAATGGACCTAAGTTAACAATGTCCATTAATTTCAGTGGTTTGAGTAGGACTAGCATTGGATGCAACCCATTGTGTCCACTTCTGGGCACCTCATTTTAAGAAGTACTTTGGGGCATGTCCAGAGCAAGGACAGTGGTGAGGGTTCTGGAAGCCAAGTTCCTATAATGAACAGTTGAAAGATCTGGGCAACAGAGAATTAAGGGCACGTCAAAGTGCAAGTAGATAAATAGGTACCGCTCCAGCAGGAAGGTAAACGGCGTTTCCGTGCACTGCTCTGGTTTGCCAGAAGCGGCTTAGTCATGCTGGCCACATGACCTGGAAGCTGTATGCCAACTCCCTCGGCCAATAAAGCGAGATGAGCGCCACAACCCCAGAGTCGGCCACGACTGGACCTAATGGTCAGGGGTCCCTTTACCTATCAGAAGGTCGGCAGTTCGAATCCCTGCGACGGGGTGAGCTCATGTTGCTCTGTCCCAGCTCCTGCCAACCTAGCAGTTTGACAGCATGCCAAAAAGTGCAAGTAGATAAATAGGTACTACTCCAGCAGGAAGGTAAACTGTGTTTCCGTGTGCTTCTCTAGTTTTGAGCACCGCAACCCAGAGTCGTCTGTGACTGGACTTAACTGTCAGGGGTCCTTTACCTTATCACAATAGTATTTGAATAGGTACAAAAATGGATATGTTGCTTCAGAAGGCAGGGCTAGAACTTGTAGGTGGAAATTGTAGGAAAGCAGATTTTGCTAAATATTCTTCTAATAAGCATATTTTTGTATGCAACTTTGAGAAATATGCACATTTTTACAAAGCCATTTCTCCTAACACAATACATTTTTGTATTTTATTTTCTACTAATATATTCCTTTTCATTTTTGTAAACTTGTTTTTGGGAAACATCACAAAATTTGGATAACTGTGAATTCCAAAGGATAACTGTATTTCAGGTCACATATTGTTTTGGAAAGTGTGGATGCGGTTGGTTCACTTTTAAAATACATTTTCCCTCATCCATAACTCTAAGCAGGACTTAGTTGGATACAGCTCTAGCTTCATAGCAGCTCAGTGTTGTAGCCAATGCTAGGCCTATTCAAAGTGCGTGAAAAGCAAAAGTAGGTACGTAATAGAGGCAGCTATTTACAAGGAACAGGGACCAGAAAATAAAAATAGTTGGACTTTTTGCATTTTCAGTATCAGCCCTCGCCTTTGTGACATGGTTTGTGCTTCGAGGTCCCCCAGGCCACCCCAAATAACTCACACTTCACACATCAATTTTTGTTTAAGGTTTTTGGCATGAATTTGGCCACAACTTTATTTAAATACACACACACGTGAGTGGTTGCTTAGGCATTGGTTACGACTATCTGTCCTTGCCGCTGGGACAGAACTGACTTCCGGATTCCAGCGGAAGCCAGTGAGGGAAACAATTTTGGAGAGAAAATGAAGCTGGGCCTCAGTCCCTCACTTCTCACCCTCATGTTCCTGTGGGGCTTGCACGGCCCAGGTCCGATGCCAGGGACAAAGACGAAAAGAATGGCAAGCCCCTGGATTCCTTTAATGGAATTCCCTTTCTGCACCACCATTGGAGGGGTAGGCACTTACCCCTCCACCAACCAATTTGAACCAATGCCTAACCGCCAACCTTACAAGTTGTGACGATTTGCTACGCAGTAGGCAAAAACCAAATGGCAACAGCCAATCAGCCAAATGGACAAAATTCCTACCAGGCCCCTGCCCCAAGGCAGACGACCCCATGACAGGCATAGCAAGGTCAGAGGACAACGAACCCCTCCCCTTTTCAGGGAGGGTGGGAGGGTGATCCAGTGCACGCAGCCCAAGAGAAGGCCCCTGGCTGCGAGCCCTGTATTTAAGACCTCTAACCCCTCCCACACTTTAGCAACATAACATTCTCCCCAGCAACACTCCTTGCCCAATCACAGCATGTGGCCAATTTGCCCAACAACAGTGGGGTGGCCTTTAGGCCCCCATCGCAACACGTGCTCTCTGTTATGGAGAACACGCTTTACAGAACATTGTTTAAATATATCCCGGAGAAACAGAAGAGAGGGGTGGAGGGGGAACCCAGCAGTAAACATTTTCCTCTGTTTCGTTTCACACCTCTGCTAATTTTCAGTAATGGTAGGAAATAGTAAGAGATGATTTCATTGTAATGGCACGCTAGATTTATTTCCCTCCATAAAGCCAGAAACGTGATGCCTCTAGTACACAGCCCGTGTCTGGATAATCATAAAAGGAAATGGTAATTATAGAAATGATGCCTGATCTTGAAAGTGCATGGCTGGCCCGGCCTGGACCCATCTCTTCACCGTTGCTTTGCCACGACACAGAGCACTATGCGAAGCGAACGGAGAATCTAAAATAGCAACAACGACGAAAGGCAAAACGTGTCCAAGGGACTGGGGTGGGGAAGCCACATTTAGAGGCTAGAAAAACAAGGGAAGACATGGTCTGGAAGACATTTGTGTCTGTTTAAATAGCTCTTTGAGAGAGGGGGGGGGGGAGAAAGAAAGAAAGAAAGAAAGATTAAATTCCAGGAGGCGTTGGAACAGAATTTTCATTTTATAATTTTAACTGATTTTTAAAATTTATTTTCAGTGTATTGAGGATTTTTTGCACGCTGCTTGGAGAGGATAATAATTAAGTCAAGAAATTGTCAAAATAAATCATAATATAGTTAGTTAAATAGAAGGGTTGGAGTGTATGTATTCTTGAGTTTTATGCTATACTTGCTGCCTTCCATTTTGGAGCTGAGCATCAGCTCATGTCCAGGGCAGACCTGTGCATAGTGCATTGCAATGCTAGAATCTTGGGGCAAGTATATTTTATTTTAGTTATGTTATCTGTTATACTTAACAGTCGCTTGTCATCAGAAGGCCTCTAAGCGACTTACAGCAAACACACACACACACACACACACACACACACACACGATACCATAAAGCAAGGGGGGAAGGGGGGGTCATACCATACATCAATACATCATCTAACATAACATTTGTGGGGAAACCAACATGGCACATCCACCATATAAATGACAAGAACATTAACTATATACAGTGGTACCTTGGTTCTCAAACTTAATCTGTTCCGGAAGTCTGTTCCAAAACCAAAGCGTTCCAAAACCAAGGCACGCTTTCCTATAGAAAGTAATGCAAACTGGATTAATCCATTCCAGACTTTTAAAAACAACCCCTAAAACACTGATTTGACATGAATTTTACTATCTAATGAGACCACTGAGCCATAAAATGAAAGCAATAAACAATGTACTTCAGACACACAATCAGTCAATCCGCAGCTGAACTGCGTTCCACACAGTCACAAAAACAAAACAAAAAAGAGGCACAAAAACGCAAAATAAATAGCAAAAACAGACAGACCCCATCGTAACACTCAAAACGGAAGTGTGGCACTCAAATCAGAAGCGTAACACTCAAAACGGAGCATGTTCGGCTTCTGAAAAAAGCTTGTAAACGGGAACACTTACTTCCGGGTTTGCAGTGTTTGGGTTCCACGTTGTTTTAGTACCAAGGCGTTTGAGAACCAAGGTACCACTGTAGTTAGTTCCTAGGCCAAGAGCAATGACTTGAAAAGGGAACTATTTCTCACAGAGGTGAGTGCGGGGAGAAGTCAGTGTGGGCCTGTAGGCCTAGGAGTAAGTAAGGCTTCATGTCTGCTGTAGTTTTAAATAATACTGTTCGTGTTTAGTTCACCTGAAGTCCCTGGAGTCTGCTTCTGAGAAAGGCACAACACATGGGGTTATCAAATGCAGGAACCACAGAGACCTGGCAAGCCTTGATTGTGGCCCTATAAAAGGAAATCACTTAATCCCCAAGTCTTAATTGGGGCCTGCCTCAGATTGAGGTTCCCAACTCCTGGATTGGGAAATCGTATACGATTGTGCCTATAAAACAGATGTGTGAGTGTTGCCTTTGTGGGTATGGCGTACTCATGTAATGGGAAGCCAAAACTGGCTGCAGCTTCTCTGTTGTTTGTGTTGTTCGACTCATGGCCCTGTAGGACAAGTCAAGAGAACTGTTTCCCCATGTTCTTAGCCATGGGATATGGCACTTAATTTCACATTATATGCAATATAAAAGATGTGTACCAGTGCACAAGGTGTGAAATGATATCATTCCATTTTGTGTTCTTTCCTTAAAAGAACATAGGCTTTTATATTCCATCAAGATGAAAACAGTGAGCTGAAGCTGCAATGAGGCAGCAAAGTATGCTACCTCTTTTTTTTTATTCCTAATCAAATGCTCCTGTTGCTGTTTGAACCTAGGCCTTGATGACTGCCTTCAACAATACATAAAGAACTTTGAGAGGGAAAAGATCAATGGAGAACAGCTGTTACACATTACTCATCAGGAACTTGAAGAGCTGGGAGTCACTCGAATCGGTCACCAAGAACTCATCCTGGAAGCAGTGGATCTGCTCTGTGCTTTGGTAAGTGGACCTATTTACTTGGAACGCTCTCCATGTTGATCTCTGTGTATCTTTCAAACCAAAGTAAGCAGATCAAGTCATAATGATGCTTCTGAAATTCTTACCGTCTGAATTTTGGAGCTTCTATTGTGGTCCATGGGGTGCCTCAGGGGCCCAGATCTCAGTCCTTGGAGGAAATAAATAAATAAATAAATAAATAAATAAATAAATAACTTAGCAAAACGCTTACCCAAGAGATCAAGGCTCAAGGTGCAGCATAATCTCATCAAACCAAGGTCAACCATGGGGAATCAGGTCCAGTCACATCCATAAATGACCCTAAAGTTAGATGAGGCAAGGGGTGTAGCATGGGGGGATGACAGGGCAGCTGTAGCTCCTGGCACACAATTTTTAGGGGTCATGAACCAGGCACCCCACGCAGGGATCCCCATTCTGTCCTGCCTGCCGCTGGGGGTCTCGGCCCCAGAGCCTGGCCTGACCTTGTCACCACGTCCCCCCCCCTGCTGAATGGCTGCCAAGCCAGCATTGTGGGTATTCACCCACTAAGGGCCACATTGTCCCTGTTCATCCTCCTTGATCTCTCATCAGCTATACAAACCACTGACCATGGTATTGTTCTAGAGAGGGTGTCTGAGTTGGGCGTGGGTGGCACTGCTTGGTTTTTGTTCCAGTCCTGTTTGAATGGCCATCTTCACAGGCTGATGCTTGGAGCGTTTTCTTCAGCCCTGTGGAGCTTTCAGGGTGGTGTGACACAGGGTTCTATTTCGTCCCCCATGCTGTTTAATGTCTATATGGAACTGCTGAGTAGTGTCATCCAGAGTTTTGGAGTGACCTGCCAGCACCATGCTGATGTCACACAGCTGGCGAGATCTTGCCAGAAATCATCACCAATGTCGGCACTGATGTGGGCGCAGTGATGGCAGGGTGTGGTTGCATTTTGCCTGGAGCGGCAAAATAGAACACTCCAGCCTTGATAGCAGGTTGGACAATTTGTGCACTTGGCTTTCTAAGCTGTATGGCAACAGCTCTTTAGGATCTCTAGCAGAGATTATGTTCCCCATCAACTGCTACCACCTTCTCTTTTCTTTTTAAGTGGAAATGCCAGGGACATGCTAGGGAACCACCCACTGCCAGCACCACTGTATTATCTGGATTAAACTCTCATCCAGTTCTTTACCAAGGTCAGACGCCCACTGCCACAGCTGCAGATGTAATGGAGAAATAGAGCCGTGCTGCATTAGTATATTTCTGACAGCTGACTCCAAAATTCTGGACGGCACCACTCAGTGGTTTCATGCGGGTGTTCATAGAATCATAGAAGTGCAGAGTGGTAGGGACCCAAGGGTTATCTAGTCCAACCCTCTGCAATGCTAAAGCATTGCAGCTAAAGCATACATGACAGGTGGCCATCCAACCTCTGCTTAAAAACAAACAAACTCCAAGGAAGAAGAGTCCACCACCTCTTGTGGGAGTCTGTTCCACTGTCAAACAGCTCTCCCAACTCAGACATACATTCCAGAAAAATGCTATGCTTGAAAGATCAAAGCTGCTGAAAGATCAAAGAGAATCAACAGGAGTTGTGTCTTCTGGGAAAAAATGCCATTTTTCTGGTCCCCATAGTAAGAAATGCTGCCCACTGGTGCTTGGAGAGCAGATGTTATTTCTTGGGTCAGATTTGACCCAAGAACTCACAATTGCTGACCTCTTTGATGGACTTCCCCCTTTCTCTGCCCTGCACCATGTAATATATCATAAAGCTATGAAATACCATTGAAACTATGAAATGCCTTTGGAGTAGAACTTAAGATTCTGCTCATGAAAACTCCATAATCTTTCTCTCTGTGTATATTTATGAGCCAAAAGAGCAATTGGCAGCTCTTATCAAAGAGTTGCTCTTTCTAGATGACTTTGACCTTGTAGCTCACTCCAAGTTAAGGCTAGAGATAATGATATCTCATTTGCTTCTGTCTTTCCAAGCTCTGACTTGACAATTAGCATTGGGGGGGGCAGTGCAGTGTAATGGCAAACATAAAACCTTATTATGAACTAGGTGCCAGTTTTACTAAATAGTAAAATGAAAAATACATTGACAAGACCTGGTGTTTTGTTTTTGTATTTTTGTTCTGCAACGCGCTGCATGCAGACATTCAATCCTTTAACACAATCTGTAATGCACTGTGTACATTTGCTTTTGTTATGATTATTGTCATTATTTCCCCATGAACTTGTGCTGGTGTAATAGGAAGCTGGGACATGGGTGGCGCTGTGGGTTAAACCACAGAGCCTAGGACTTGCCCATCAGAAGGTCGGCGGTTCGAATCCCCGCGACGGGGTGAGCTCCCGTTGCTCGGTCCCTGCTCCTGCCAACCTAGCAGTTCGAAAGCACGTCAAAGTGCAAGTAGATAAATAGGTACCGCTCCGGCAGGAAGGTAAATGGCGTTTCCATGTGCTGCTCTAGTTCACCAGAAGTGGCTTAGTCATGCTGGCCACATGACCCGGAAGCTGTACGTTGGCTCCCTTGGCCAATAAAGCGAGATGAGCGCCGCAACCCCAGAGTCGGTCACGACTGGACCTAATGGTCAGGGGTCCCTTTACCTTTAATAGGAAGCTAATACCATTTGACAAGGATTTGCAAAAAAGGACCATAACTCAGTGGTAGAAAATAAGAGCATAAGAAGGGCCTGCTGAATCAGACCAATGGTCCATCTAGTCTAGCATACTGTTCTCACAGTTGCCAACCAGATGCCTATGGGAAACCCACAAATGAGACTTGAGCACAATAGCAATCTGCCCACCTGCAAGCCCTTCAACTAGTATTCAGAGGTGCACTGTCTCTGGCTGTGGAGAAAGAATAGCTATTGTGGCTAGTAGCCACTGATACCCTTATCCTCAATGAATTTATCTAAAACACTTTTAAAGCATTCCAAGTTGATGATCATCACTGGCTCCTGTAGGACTGAATTCCATAGTTTCACTTTACATTGCATGAAGTATGATCTTGCTACAGGTAGGTAGCCGTGTTGGTCTGTTGTAGTCGAAACAAAATAAAAAAAATCCTTCCAGTAGCACCTTAAAGTAAAGGTAAAGGGGACCCCTTACCATTAGGTCCAGTCATGGCCGACTCTGGGGTTGCAGTGCTCATCTCGCTTTATTGGCCGAGGGAGCCGGCGTACAGCTTCCAGGTCATGTGGCCAGCATGACTAAGCCGCTTCTGGCGAACCAGAGCAGCGCATGGAAACGCCGTTTACCTTCCCGCTGGAGCGATACCTATTTATCTACTTGCACTTTGACAGTAGCACCTTAGAGACCAACTAAGTTTGTTATTGGTATGAGCTTTCGTGTGCATGCACACTTCTTCAGATAGGATTTTTTTTTTTGTATTATTTTGCATTTGCTTTGACTCTTCTAGCCTTCAGTTTTATTTGGATGGCTTCTAAGTTCTGGTATTATCATGAGAGAGAGAGAGAGAGAGAGAGAGAGAGAGCGCATTTTGACTTCCATCTCTTCTCCAATTCATTTTTCCCTAATTCACCAGTGAAAAGGCAGCAGTGTCATTATACTTTGCCTCGCAAGTATATTTGGACTAGTCCACATTGAAGATAAAGCTTCTTCCTTCTCTTTCTGTCTTGTCTCCCTTTTACATCCCAATTTCTTCCTAAAAGCACTCCACATTTTCTGCATCCCAGACTGTTAAAAGATTTTATACTGCTAAACCTTTGTATGGCTGTGTGCAGTAAGGATCTCTTCATGCTAAAAGCATTGCTCTTGAAAGAGGTGACATTTTCTCCCATTTTGCTTGCGTAGTCTTTGATTTGCACATATTGCAGAATGTATTTTTTAATTTGATTGTAATCTGTAAGCACGTTTCACTCTGACATAAACACTCTGACATAAGTGTGGTGGAGTCTCCTTCTTTGGAGGTCTTTAAGCAGAGGCTTGACAACCATATGTCAGGAGTGCTCTGATGGTGTTTCCTGCTTGGCAGGGGGTTGGACTCGATGGCCCTTGTGGTCTATTCCAACTCTATGATTCTATGATTCTATAAACCACTTTGTACACACACCGAATTGTGCCATTGCTTTTCTCTTTTTGCTTCAGAGTCATGGGAAAAATAGAAACGCATACAACTTAGAATAATAATATTTTGGTTTTGGTGGTGGTAGTAGGAATACACTGTTCTCTTTGCAGACACCTGGGTGTTCATTTTGTTTTAGGCCTCACTGCTAAGTTCTAAAGCGGCTAGAACTTTGGTGTGATTAAACCTAATGCAAGCTTTTGTACTTCATTACACTGCTGTTTATTGGCTGACATAAAGCTTGATTACTGTCCATTGGTGCATATCCAAATTAATTTACTGAGTCCACATTGCCAGATGTGCTCTGACTCATACACAGCCCAGCGTTTCAATATCACTGGATTAGTTATCCTTTATTCTTCCCTAGCCTGCCCTCATTGTCTGCTACGTGCAGTCTAAGGAGAAAGCCTCTAAAAGAGCAGCCTAGTTTTGGAGAGGGGGAGTTACAAAATAAAAATTAAAGCACATTTTAAATATTAGCAGCTTAATGCCTTGATTGGAGCAGCTTCAGATGCTTGCACATAAGGTGTGCAGACATGCTATATACCATGGTTACTTTTACCATTACAAAAGGGCCACTGATGCTCCCTAGAAGTTGCCGTCAGATGCACCATTTCAACCACTAAGGTCTAGAACAATTTGCATTCTCTTTATATTAAATGGGAACATGCATTGGCTCTGATAAAACTCCCACTGAAATGAAGGGGGAGTGGGGTTCATGACTGGTGTCAGTGCCTGGTGAGTCAGTGCCAGAGATTGGCAGAGTCTGACAGATGTTGGGCCTCATTAAGCAAGCCACCCAGAGTGCCACTCTCTCAGTTCGTGCTTCACACATAAGTGTATGGAAGAAATTTGCTTTGTTTTGTGCCTCCACTCATTTTTATTATTAAAGACCTCATTCATTTTGTTCTCCATTCATTAAGAT